CCGTGCACTGATAGAAAGGATTAGTTATTTTTAACTAATGTATTTGGTGGGAAACGAGGGTCTATGTGTATCATCAAATGCACATTTGAGGAGCTTTGTTTCACTCGATTTTCACTTTTCAAATGAACCATTGGTTAACTATTAACGAATATTCATTTGATCATATTCAACTCTACACCGTTCGTTAATAGTTAAGGGTGCCAAGTGAATTTGGCGATGACCTTGAAAATTGACATTCACCGACAAAGTTATAATTTTTTAAATTAATAGTATTAGACAGATGGTGAACATCGGTGACAATTTTAAAATTTTAGAACTTATGGATATCAAGAAATTGAATAAACAAAATCAGTCTTATACACGGCCTCTTATGGAGTTTTGATTAAATTGAACGTTTCAACCCCCTAGGAACTCAAGAAATATTTGAAAAAATTTGAAGATATGGGGAATGATGTGTTCAATGTGATGGCGACAAAAAACAATGGGGTACCGGGGTGAATAAGAGAGATAATTCAACCCGCCGTATCCATTTGATCCCATGCTTTCTCGAGGTTCGTCACGCGAAATAGAGGATTTTCCGCATTCATTTTCTCGATGTCTAGTTTCGGTTGCGAGTTTGAAATTTCGTCGGATGGATGAATACATATTTCTCCAATGATGGAGGGAAAAAAAAAATTATTTTTGAATCTTTTTTCAAATTCACTTGGCACCCTTAAGGAATCTCTTTTGAAATAAATGAATCAGTCTATTAGTATGGTTATACGGGGCAAAATCGATCAGGTTCGCGATTTTCCCTAGTTATTCCCATATTCCGTCATATCACAAACTGTTCAATGGGTCCCAAGGCCTGTGAAGACTGAAATTTAACGGACGTATCTCCTTAATTCAAAATCAATGAAATGGATTTCAGAGAAATTGAAGTCATGAAAATCACGATGAATGCAGTTTAATAAATAAGAGGGATGGGGCTAAACGGGTGAACGACTCGTTTTTTATTGAACCCAGCTGTATCCCCCGAAATAGTATTTTTCCGGCCTGTTGCGATGGGGTTTTTTACTCGTGTGGCGTTGGCCTCCGAGCCGTAGGCGAGAAAAAAATACTCGACAGGGGTTAAAACTAAGGGTCATGAGGGTCAGAAATGAGATTAAAAAATAAACGTCAGAAATAAAGGTCATAAGGGTCAAAAATGGAGATATTGAAGTCATCAAAATCACGATGAATGCAGTTTAATAAATAAGAGGGATGGGGCTAAACGGCTGAACGAGTCGTTTTCCATTGAACCCCGCTGTACCGCCCAAAAATTTATGTTTCTCCCCCTCCCAATTCGATACGACAAAAATACTCGACAGACGCATTCCGCTGGTGTCACAACACACAGATAATGGAGTAGAGTGAACGAATGAGGAAGCGAGTGGAGCAGAATCGACTGGCGAACCTTGAAATATCGATTTGTTCGTTGGAGCTGATTTAATCGGATAGGGCGGGAGGGGGCTATAGGTTTCCCATATAGCCGCTGGCGTTTGCTGACAAAGGCGGAGGCATTTTAACTCAACTATTCATCTTCCAAATGCTTTTGTCGGAGGAAACATTCTGCATACAATGTTGCACTAAGGGGAAAACCGACTAATGCTTCGAAATTAATTACTCAAGGCAAAAATATATTGATCCAAGTGTGTGTTTTGGACAAATCGCTTGCGATTAGAACTTCGTGATGGAAAAAATTAATTTTATCAAGATGTTTTTATTCGGAACATGTTTTGTGTGGGCGAGGAAATCAATCATTTTATTTTGAGATGCATTTACTGGATCAAATAAAAGAGTAGTCGGAGTCAACATGTATTCGCCGCAAGAATAGAAAAGTTCTATTGCTGTAAACTAATGTAATCTTCGGTCAGGAAATTCTCTACTTTCATGAGTTCATTGAAAATTCGTACTTACATTGTTGAAAATTTTCGTTTGAATTTTCCGTGCCAAATTCCGAAAATTTTTATTGGGCTCAAGTTCCACTGAAATTTCAGGAAATCTTGTCATTGGAAAATCAAATATTCCATCGATTTTCTGTTCAAATGATTTGGAAACTAATAAAATATTTGATTTCAATTTCATTTGATTTTAGTTCAATTATTCTGTGGAAATTCAGAAAAATCAAGGAAATTCAGGAAAAAATTGAAAATTAAGTTATTTTGTTTCTGAATATTCATGTTCCACTAAAAATTCATAGATTTCCGTGAATTCCACTTAAAACTTGATATTTCCTAACCATTTTCCCCCTAAATCCGATGTCACTCTCATGAGATTTAATATAATGATTTCTATGAAATTAAAAAAAATTTCTAACAGTGTAGGAAATGATTACACACTGAAAGAAAAAATTAGATCTGCCGAAAAATTCAGTAGTGAAGTGGTAAAGCGGTATAAGTCAATTCTGACTATTGACCAGTTTTCAGGGAATATTTAGAAATCTAAGGGAGATAATAATTTTCGTAGTAGTAATTGTTCTCGTGAGACATTTATATGTCTTTCGGGTAAATACATTCATTCTGCAGGGCATTATATGAGACTCCGGTTTAATCAAGTGAATGTTATTGAGTAGTGTATATCTTTGTCCAATAAACACTTATAATTTCCATGTAACAAATGATAATTTCAAGAGTAAACTACAATTTTCTTGCCGAAAACTGTGTAATTGGCAAAACTAAATAATTTCAAGGGGACAATTTTTTTGGGAAAAAAATTTTCTTTCCTCTTCAATATATTCTTTCTATGGTATAAACCTATGGAGTTCTCTTAGATTAAATGATTAATCTTAGTTCGAATTCTTCTAGGGATATTTCTGATGATCAGGACAAAAATTGAATTTTCGTGAAAGACATTAAATTTCCTTCTATCAAGTTGGTTATTTTCCCTCAAGTAAATCTGAATAGCTAATAAAATTCCCTTGATAAAATTATTTTAGCTTTCATTACAATGTTGACGACATCAACATGAAGAATCCACAACGGAGTGAGAATTTCTTGACTCAAGGAACCCTTCTCCCGCGTCAGGATATGAATAACCGATGATTTCCAAAATGTTTTTCCCCCTTTCCCCTCAAAAACTCAACAGTCCCCATCACTCATGCCCCTTTCTCCAGCTGTGGAAAGATAAACGTCCGAACAATTAATCATGAAGAGGCGAGAACAAGGTGGAAAAGGCTCCTCTATGCCGGAACGATTAATTACCCGCAGATCCCAGAGCGTTAATTAGGGAAGGTCTTGTACCTATAAAGCCCGTGAAAACTTTTCCCGCCACTTTATCGCCTCCTGCAACTGCAATTGTTAGCTTTTTCATGTAGATATCTCGCGGGAGTTATCCAGCCACTGGGCCAGGGGGCTTGTTAGACTTTACGGAACATTCATGGAATGTCTTGAATTTATGGCCTGATCTTTCGACATTCCTGCGATGTCAGGGGGATGAGAAGTTGAGGGATTATGCGGGATTATGTTAACGGCGAATTGGTCCGGCTGTAAGGGGATGACCAGAGGATTCCGGGGATGACCCCAATTACATTTTCTCATGAAAAATTAACAAAACTTTCGTTACCCGAAAGATGATTAGTTATTTCGTTCTTTTCCTCTTACGAGGAAAAAATGGAGTAATGTGCGGCTTAACGTCTTAAGCTGTTTCGTCTGTATTTCTCCGGGGGGAGTGGGTGAGACGGAACGGGAGTTTCATTGTTCTCCCGCGCTGGTTCACTCGCTCAACACAACAATTTTCAATATTCAAGTCGCTATTTCCGTGTGCATTTGAATATTTCTTGAATATCAATTTTTTTCGTCGGATTGATTGATTTTCTCCCCATCACTTACGAGCGTCAAATTATTTTTGTTGGATGTTTTTATAATTATCGAAATAATATTTAAATGCATCAGAGACATAGCAATGCCGTATGAATCGTTCCTATGGTTATTTCGAGTTGGTAAACCTACGGAGTGTTTTCTCTCTCTCAGTTGAATGGTCTAACCTGTACCTCTCCCATGATGCTCCAGCGATTATATTGACATTCGAATTGCGCGCCACTCAATGTGAAGGCGTAGTCGACACACGTGAGCCTCAATGGACAGAATGTCCTCCGAAACTCATAATTTCCCGGTTTTTTTTTTCAAATAACTTTCTTATGAAATCTATCAAAAATCTGGAACTTATACTTTCAAGCAAGCTTTTCATTTATCATCCACTAATATTTTTTTTTATTTCTTTATTATTCTCGTGACCTTTATTCCTCCCCCATGACCCTTATTCTGAACCCCATGACCCTTATTCTGAACCCCATGACCCTTATTCTGGTCCTCGTGGCCCTTATGACCCTGATTTTGGACCTTGTGACCCTCATTCTGACCCTTATGACCCATATTCTGACCCTTATAACCGTTATTCTGACCTTCGTGACCCTTATTTTGATCCTCGTGACCCTTAAAACCATGATTTTAGACCTCGTGATTCTTATTCTGACCATTATGAACCTTATTCTGACCCTCATGACCCTTATTCTAACCTTCGTGACCCTTATTATACTTCTCGTGACCTTATGACCCAGATTTTACACCCCGTGATCCTTATTCTGACCCTCATGACAATTATTTTGACTTTCGTGGCCCTTATTTTGAGCCTCATGACCCTTATTTTGACCCTGGCGACCCTTAATTGTGGAGTTTTAATTTCGAGTACCGGATTTTTATCGCCAGAAGTTGATTTGGATTTTTACAATACAAGAGAGATATTCGGGACTTTCCTAGCACTTATCGCCTAAATGTCAATTTCAACACACAAAAAATTGCCACCAAACACACTGGATACAAAAATAATAAAAATTCCTCCCCCTCAAAAAAAAAAATGATCACCCATAAATATTAATGCAATCATATCCTTACGTATTCCGCATAAACAGAAATTGCATTCCATCTAAATGCTAATGAATCGCCGAATAAATTACAATGTTTGTTTACATTTTCTGCTTGCAGGGGTTTCGGAAAGCAGGGATATCAGTGCCAAGGTAAGCCCACAGCCCACACCCTCGAAAAGAACAAATTCCGGACGATTGAGGGATTCGTATGACTAATAATCACGAAACGATAATGATAATCATCGTGAGGATAGCGGGAGGCTGCGTCAATTAGCAGCGAAGCACACGTGTGGCGTCATGTAACCCAGTGGGTTGACTAGATCATCTTCGTGTTTCAGTCTGTAGTTTCGTCGTTCATAAGCGATGCCACGAGTACGTCACCTTCACGTGTCCCGGGGCAGACAAGGGCGCCGATTCAGACGTGAGTTATACTGTTACAAATTACCTCCCTGATCTTCTAATATTGCCACTCCTCCCAGCTTTCCATTATGTAACATGTTATCTTTCATCCGCAATCATCAGCTTTTAGCACTCGTTTCTCCTTCTTGTTTTGTCGAAATTGAGGGGGAATTTAATGAGTGTTAAATGAGAGGGGTTGGCCACAAAGGGATTGGGTGACGCTACGTGTTCGGATTTATATCAATGAATAGAATTTTTCTCAGTTCAATTTCGTAAGAAATTTTTTTTTTTTGGATGGGACAAATCGACTCAACCCAGATAATTTGATCTTGAGGTCATGACTTCGAACTGGGAATTATTTGATGAATGATCCTCTGAGTTTGAGTCATATTGTTGAATCCTGAAGGTAAAATATTATGGGTCAAATTGATCCGTGACACGATGAATATTGTAGGTCAAATCTATTCGACTCAAGCAATTTTGCCTTGAGAACATGCTTTCAAAATAAAAATTAATTCGTCAATGATTCCATGAATATGGGTCATACGGTAAAATGCCGAAAGTGAAATATGGGTCAAATTGACCCTCGACATGATGAATATTGTGGAACAAATCGATTTGACTTCACACAATTTGATCCTCATCGCTACAAATATTGATAAATGATCCCATAAGTTTGAATCATATGATCCCATCTTGATGGGGAAATATTATGGGTCAAATTGACCCTCATCGGTACGAATATTATGGGTTCAATCCATTTGACCCACAAAATTTGACCTAGAGAATATGATTGTAGATTGAAAATAACTAGAAATGATTCCATAAATTTGGATCATAATATGGTCAAATCCTGAAGGTAAAATAAGGGTCAAATGGATTCTCATCGCTACAAATTGCGGGTTGAATTGATTTGACCCACATGATCTGGTCCGAACAACATGATCTTGAGATTGCAATAAACTTCATAAATAATTTCATAAAAATGACTCATGCTGAATGGGTCAAATGATTACTTAGATCATGAAGGTTAAATCGTGCGAATCAAATGATACGAGCCACATAGTTTGACATTAAGAACATGATTTTAAACTGAAAATCACTTGATAATTGATCTCGTGATTGTAATCGATCTCGTGAATGATTCCATAAATTTAATTCATGTCGTATGGTTCAAATATCGTGAGTCAAATCAAGTTGATCCACACGATTCGACCCAACTGTAATGATTTTATGACTGCAACAGACTCTATAAATAATTTCATAGTTTTTGAGTAACGTGCGTCAAATCATATGAGCAAAATAAGTGAATGATTTAATAAATTTGATTGATGGCGTATGGTTCAAATGTCGTGGGTCATATCAATTTGCCCCGCACGAGTTGACCCGAATGAAATGATTTCATGAGTGCACCTGCCATCATAAATGATTGTAAAAAATTGTTTGATATCTTATAGGTCAAATCGTGAGGGTCAAACACCATGGGACAAATTCCGTGGGTCAAATGGATTTGACCCATTCAATTTGACCCAACTGCAATGATTTTCTGATTGCAACTGACTACAAAAATAATTTTATAATTTTTGGGTGATCTGGGTTGTATGAGTCAAATAACATTCCACCAATATTATGATAAAAATCGTATGGGTCAAATTGAATTCATCCAGGAATGGCGTCACCATTTCCGTTGTGAACACCCCTCGACTCACTTCAACACTCGAATCCCTGAAAAAAAAAACCAATAATTTGTCCTGCGTGAAAAATAGAGGAACCGAGTGTAAACGTTGAAAAAGCTGATGAATGGGGGTATAAAAAAGGACATCCCAAAACCCATGTACTCCCTACCCTCTGAAAAAAAGGGATGGATAAAAAGAAATATCGCCCGAGTGCTCGTAAACTCTCGCACCGTGCGCCCGGGGTCCGAGTGAATAAAATGTCCTTCATTAGGTAGTTTTTCCTCGCTGCGTGTTGAGAGGTTTCACAAAGTGACGTCTCAACGGTGGGTGATACGAGGGTTGTTGAGGCACCGGTGCGAGGGTTGTTTCAGGGGACGAGGGAACGATATGCTATGACGCCGAAAGACTCCCCCAGGTATTTTCGAAAAAAATATTCACCGTCTTGTTTAAACATTACTTATCATGCTGGGGAATTTTTGGAGGAGGGCGGCCCGGCGTAGGAGGCTACGGAGTATTGAGTGGAGATACAGGAAATTGTTTGTGGGAGGGGGAATTAGGAGATTATCAACATTTAAATTGATAGCAAACAATGAAAATTAACGGCATCTTCGTGAAAAATGGATTGATGGAGAATTGATGATCTCCACGGGGAGAATTAATCCATCCGGAAGCCAACCAAGTCAATTAATATCGTATTAAGGTAAATGGCCCTATGCTCGGCTAGCTCAGGTGAGCACGTCATTAGCCCGGTATTTATATCGAAATGAGTGTGGAGACGGGATTTCTTGGGTTTATACCAGGAAATGATTGAGAATCAGAATTCAATTAAATTAATCATGCACGGAGAGAAGTTGAATAAAAATTACCGAATCATGGCAAATTTTACTGTACGAAAGGTAATCGTTGAGCGAAATGTAATTCAATGAAAAAATACATTTTTATGGAGGACATTTTCCGACTCGTTGGGTAAAAAAAATACATCTGTGGATGCAAAATTATCCTCCTGTACAGTAAAATTTTCCAAACTCATCACTAGTTTAGTATTTTAAGAAAATTTATTGGATATGAGATGTCAATTAGGGAGGTTATGGCGACCTGAGTATAGAGACGCCACCGCAATGTGGCGCAGTAGCCAAATACAAACAACAATGACTCACCATCTATATCTCTACATCTAGAAGAAAAAGTAAAACTCGGGGGAATGATTCAAAGAGGTTTATCTTGGAAATCCGATTTGACTGGCTCTAACTTAATTTTGTGGTTTGATAAGGTTTTATTCAGTTCCTTCCGCAAGAAAACACTATACGGAGAGAAAAGTTGGATAAAAATTACCTACAAAGTCGTGGCAAATTTTACTGTACGAAAGGTAATCGTGGAGCGAAATGTAATTCAATGAAAAAAAACCCGTTTGTGCAGGATATTTTACGATTCTTTCGATAAAAAAATACATTTATGGGTGGATAAATTATCCAGTAGGATAATTTATGCATCCATAAATGTATTTTTGTTACAGTAGAACTCCCACACAGGCAGGGTTTTTTTCTGCACCCATCTGAAGGTCATGAGTTTGAAGCCATCAGACACGTGGATTTAAGGGGTGAAATTGTAACTACTCGGAGTATCAGGAGAATTTTTCAGTCATGATTGCAAAAATATTGAATCCACTTATCACTAGTTTAGTATTTCAAGACAATTTATTGGATAAAAGATGTCAATTAGGGAGGTTATAACAACCTGAGTTCAGAGACGCCACCGCAAGGTGGCGCAGTAGCCGAATTCAAACACTAACGCCTCTATCTATATTTCTATATCTCTTCCATTATGAATTGAAATAACTAATCAATAATGGAAGAGAATAAGGGAATAAGAATTATTAATTAAGGGCCACAGGAACAGGGCCGAGCATAGGCACATTTACCTCATCCAAGAAATTATCATAAAATTGCCAGAATAATTTCTTCCGGCAATACTCTGAGAGAAAAAAATTAGCTCATTCGAAAAACTATATGTTCCACGTGAGAATATTTGATGGAGTGGAACAAACTTACTTGAGGGAAATCAACCAACTTGATAGAAGGAAATTTAATATCTTTCACAAAAATTAAATTTATGTCGTGATCATGAGAAATATCCCTAGAAGAATTCGAACTGTTGGCAGGAAAAAATATAATCCATTGTACGACAATTATTTGATCTGAGAGAACTCCATAGGTTTATACCATAGAAAGAATACATGGACGAGGAAAGGATATTTTTTTCCCAAAAAAATTGTCCCCTCGAAATTATTTAGTTTTGCCAATGACACAGTTTTCAGCAAGAAAATTATAGTTTCCTCTTGAAATTATCATTTGTTCCATAGAAATTATAAGTGTTTATTGGACAAAGATATACACTACTCAATAACATTCACTTGATAAAACTGGAGCCTCATATAATTATCTGTAGAACGAATGTATTTACCCGAAAGACATAAATGTCTCACGAGAATAATTACTACTACTGAAATTATCATGTTTTGATGGAAATTTCCTTCTTTGTCCACAAGTAAATGAATTCAACACGACAAAAGATCTCTTCAGGGGAACATAATTTTCCAGTTAGCACTAATTTTTCTCTCAGTGTATATTCTAGAGATATTATTTTGTCACATCGACAAACAATCGTGCGGAAATGCTCCTCACGAATTATTAGCCCGTAAAATATTCAATGAGACGACGATAAATTAGCTCGCTGCATAAAATTCCAGAATTCATATCGCCAAGATCCAAATGCATTCGAGCCACTCGAATGCGAAGAGCCGTAAACTCCCGGCATTACTCCCTCCCACGTGGGAAACTCGGGGCTGCATTAATTTGTAGTTGGTACAGTCGTTCAGTTCCCGAGCATACGAAACTACAAATTCGTGTTATTATATTCGAGGTAAATTAAATGAAAATATTAAATTCCTCGTGACACGTGCGGTGGTGCGCCGCATCTCTCGGGGCTTTAGTCTCACGAATTGAAATCGCGGAGCGAAAACTACGAGACTATATTTCTCAGTTTCGCGGAACATATGGTCATTTCGGAAATCCACAGTTGGGTTGGTGTAACAAAGTCTGTGGGTTATCGGTGCCGTTGCTGATGTACGTGTCTAGTGGAGATATTCCTCAATTGAAGAATTAACTGTTCATTCCAAGAAAAATATCAGAGAAGACGACCTGTTTTTTTTTGTTTTCGCTTTGTAATGTGTAAACATCTTAACCTTCATTAAATCTTCCTAGACTCTTTTAGATATCCAAAATTATTATTACTGCCACTAGGCCTGATAAAACACGATTCCCATGCGATTATAAACACGCATTTGCCG